CACCAACACGAATTGGTAGATCAACAGCAACCGTTGAAAAACAAAATATGGTACATAAGTGCTCATCAGAGAACTAATTTGTTCTTTATCCAGCTTCTTTTTTATCATTTTAGTCAACAAATCCGAATAATGAAACAATAGTTCTTGTCAGTAATCTGCAACCGACAGTGACAGAAGTCGATGTTATGGTTAGTTCATGTCTTGGATCTTTCTTTTTGTAATTTGAAAAATTCTTAACGCATTATGTCGTTGTTTAGGAATTATTTAGTCAAGCCGGTGATATAAGTCAAATAAGCGTATTAAATCGTGGATGTATTCAAGTTTTTTATAAGAATCGTGAACATGCTGAGCAAGCATGTGCTAAATATCATAATCGTTTATTAGATGGTCAATTTATGTATGTTAGTGTACAACAACCAGATACTGAATTAGTTCCATTATTATCAACAAAAACAGCGTCGACAAATATTGGATCATCTTTAGCAGCGACAACGGCTTCTCAATCGGCGACAATGACTACGACGATGATCAATAAGCATGCACAAGGACAATCACAACAAAAAGACAATGGGTATGCTTTATACAAAGCAGAATTATTTAACAGATCAAATATGATTGAATTATTTTCCCACATATTGAATGATAAAAACGTTTTCTTAAAATATTTTCTATTGCAATATGTCCGACTTGATGGAGTAAGAGAACAAGTTTGAGATGATAACGAATTATGAGTGAAAAAGAACCATTTGATTGATGCCTCGAAATTTAAATACTATGGCAGTAGTATATTTTTAAGAATAGTAGCTGCCATTTCTATTGTAAATTTTCACTTTGATAACCAACACTAGACTCGAGACTGCGTATGAAACAAAAATTTTCTATTTGCTTTAGAATGTTGAATCAGCCATTGAAATTGAATGCGTCCACGACATCTACACATAGCAATAATAATCCAACGTCAACAACAGTAAATTCCAAAATTATAATTGATCCAACGTTAATACGTCAAGCTTTATTTCAATCATCAACAAACAGCACAAATCCTGTTCAATTTCAAGTGAAATTATAAATAGATTACAATCTTTATCATTATCTTTCCATTCTTGTCATTATTGCGCTGCAACACTTACAGAGTAATCAACTTTTATTTGTTCTCCTATTGATTTGAAAACTTGTTTTTTTCTTTTTTGTTGCTTTTCTCAAATTTCTATACCTGAGTGGGTTATTTGTCATTAACTATTCAGTAACCAAACAAAGAATAATTATTCGTCTTTGTAGAAATAAGTGTTACGATCGCTTTTGTTTTACTATTTGTCGTTTAGACTTTGTCATTTACTCTCATTTAATAAAAAGACATTGTTACAATTTATTTTGTGTGTGTGTGTGTGTGTGTGACTTCAATAATGACTTCGATTTCAGAATACTTTTCGAAAACATAAAAACGTTCCATTTAACCACTATTGTGAATTCTTTCAAGATAAGAAGTTTCTTAGATTAGTCAGTTATCATAGACGTGTTGAAATTGATCAACTAACTGTTTGAAAAATATTATTCTTCATAGTAGAATACAAGTATACTGTTTGTTCACCAACTGAAATGGTGTTTCTCTAAATAAGTTATATTTACCATCCGATACATGTCCAATATCGTCAGAGCAATTTTTGATGTAATGTTAAATAAATTATATATATTTCAGAACTTTGAAGTCAATATGAAAAGAACGAAATCTATATAGTAAACAGAGTTGTTGGTGTACCCATGTAGAAATTGCAAAAGCTTTTGTGTGTGATCACACAAAAAATGGTTACAAATACGAAATTTTGCAAAAATTCGCTTTTGTAACCATTTTTTGCGTTACGCCATCTATGTTTTTGCAGTCTTTTTTTGCGTTATTCACTTAATTAACGCAAAAAAATTTTTTGGTTTTGACGACATGGACAAACTTTTCTTTCGCCTCCTTTAGGGTTTCATACTCTTCACATCACAATACAATCGATCGTTTGCCGTGGACTTCACACAATGTCAATGAAAAATTTATTTGATGATTAAATTAAAGGGCTTGTCGATTTATATTCGAAAATAGCTTTAGTTTAGCCACATAGCTTTGGTTGTATTGCAACTTATTTTCTCACATTAGAAAGCCTCGGGTAGTCTTTGTTTTGTTTTATCCGTTTTATTTTCTTCTGAATGTGATTTTAATACGATGTATTTATACTGTCTCTCTAAACAGTGTCAAACCAAATATTTCATGTTATTTCGATCTTTATAGATATGAATTTTTTGTTGCGTTCTATTCGGTATAGGTTTTCATATTCCAGTGTCTTATTGACAAAGAACTTAATCGAACAAAAAAAAATTCGATTTTTCAGTATATCATGTTTAAAATATTCCGCAAATCAATCAGCTGTCAAAACCACAGATTCTTCAGTTGGCGAAAATGAGAAAAACGAAAAAGTATTGATTCCAACCCCATCACCATCATCGTTTGTTCCACAATATGATCCATATTTACCCGAGCCAACTGGTATCAAGTCATCGATTTTTGAAGATTTTTATCTTATTTATCGTTTTCCATATCAGGTACAATTACGACAAATACAATTTATTAAATTAGGACAATGTTTTGGATTAGCAGTATTTTTACCTTATTATACATATGCTTATTATCTCGGCACAGTAACAACATTTAATTTTTATCTTGGACTAGGTAAATAAACACTTGTTTTACTTTACTCATTTTTTTCTATCTTTGATTCTCCATCATTTATAATGGAATAATTTTCATTTAGGTATAGTTGGGATGTCACTTGTATCCTTATTTTCATTTGGCTATTTTGCCACTCGACTAATCTGTTATTTATATACAACGCCGTTGTGTGAACGTGTTATTATTACATATGTTGACTTTTTCGGTAGACGAACAGATATGGAAATACCTACCATTGATATTGTGCCAATCAATGAAATTGAAACACCAGATCGATTTTTTTTACCGTTTAAAAGATATTCATTACAAGGTATAATGTATTATTCGTTAAAATGGGGTGATATATTTGATCGACCTCGATTCAATCGTGTATTCTCAGGAATAATTACAAAAGATGTTAAAGATTGGTGGTAGTAAATATTCAATGATCTAGTTTTAGTTTATTTTTGAATAAATAGCTTTCTGTATTATTAATAATCATTTTATTTAGCATTTAAGAATTAGATTGACAAGAATTGATAACAAAGCCTTAGTAGATGTTAAATATCTACTGAAAACCTGTTACTTTAAGCTTAGTATTATGCTGAGACTGTTGATTTTCTGAAAGCATTCTTGGTCATAGGTGACAGAATAACATTTTTAAGGCTAGAAAAAAGATAAATTATATTAAAGTATTTGGAGAGAAAATTCCTAAAACTAAGTATTGGGTATAGCAGGGGTAACTGACGTTCTTTTATGGTTTAAAACGACATATTGTTAAGTAAATTGTGCTTTCGTTATCGCACTATCATCATATGTTTCAATAACTTCGGCTTCAAGTGGTGAACGATAATTTCCATCTGATTGATGTTCATCACGCCATGACGATGACGATTGATGTAAGCCCGTTAAATCACTACCTATACCTGACCATCCACTAAGGCCACCAGACATACTTTCGTAATGGTGCGATGTTGTATTACTTGCCGCCGTCGATGGTAATGGTATTGTCGATGAAAGATTATTATAATCTGAACTACGTGTACGAAATACATCTGTGCTTGTCGTTAATGGAGTACCACTGTGAAAACTACTTTGCACACCACCTGTATTTCCTTCAACACCACCGGATCGTATCACTGACGATGTTGTGTAGGTATAATTTGATGCTGAAGGATTACCTCCTCCACTACCTAATACTGCCGTAGCTGATGATATTGTTGCATTTGATTTCTTCATTAATTCATCTAATAATCTTGAATATATTCTTAATTCATCTTCAATACTAAAACGTAATTCGAATGCCATCTGTTCAAACTTTTGTCTTAAACCTTCATATTCAGATTTTAATCTATCAGTTATTGAACGTTCATGGAATTGTTTATCACGTATTTTTCTTTCTAATTCATGTAATTTTGTTTCTTCATCTCTTAACAAACGTTTTTTTTCTGATAATAATTTTGTTAAATCATTCAGTTTCATTTGTTCTTTGTCATATTCTTCCATTGATGTACGCAATTTTGACTCTTCTAACATCAAACGATTTTTTTCTGCATCTTGTTGTTTTCCATCACCAGAAGGCATCTGTTGTTTCAATTGATTTTCGACTAATCGCAATTGACCCTCAATTTGATACTCTAATTCATCTTGAAATTTTTTTGCTTGTTTACTATAATCACGTTTTATATCACGAATAGCATTTGTTAATTCTTCTTTATAAAACATAACAGAATCATCTTTACTTTGATCTAATAAACGTTTCCATTCATTGATTTCTTCATCATTTAATGCATTTGTTAAATTCATTCGTTCACGTAATGATTGAATATCATCCAGTAATGTCTGTTTATCAACGACAATTTTTAGCCAATCGTTTAATCTTTCTCGAAATTTATTTAATTCTTTATGTAACTCATCTCGTGTAGATGATATTTCTTCTTCTGACGATTTTTCTCGTGGTATAATACGTTGTAATTCTTCTTGTAATTTTTCAATCATATTTCGTAAATTTTCTTGTTTTCGTCTATACATCTCTTGTATATTTCCGTAAAGACCACTTGCACGATTTAACACAGCTGTTTCTTGTTCGCATGCCCGTGTTTTCACTTCATCATTGGCACGTTTTATAGCACGATCATTTATTTGAATGATAACAGAGCGTAATTCATTTTCGTCACGTGGTAAAATGCCCCATTTAGAAAATTCATCTTTCAACTGTTGTTGTAAATTTTCATTAATACGTTTTAATTGTTCAATATTGGCAAGAAAATGTGAAAAACGATCGTTTAAATGTCGTAACTCTTCTTTTTCTTTACCATCCCGATCGCGTTCACGTTGGACCATGGCTACAGCTTTGCCCAGATCTTCACGACCGGGAACCGATGCCGAACGAGACGATGAACCGACATCAAATTCAAATTTTAATACACGTTTTTCCATTTTAACAATCTGCAAAACATAACAGAAAGAGTTCTGATAAAGTTTTGAATTTTGTGGAGTAATCTACTTTTGGTGGTGAAGATCAGAAATAACTTATATATTCGACGTTTAAATAGTTAATTTTGGAAAAGATTGAATGACAAATGTGTTTTGTGATAAAATAGTGTAGTAATGTATACTACTATACAATATACATTTATTGATGTATTTTAAGAGAAAGGCTTCTTCTACTACAGAGAAAGAAAAACAGCTGCCTAAACCGCAATAGGTCTATGTCGCCATACATCTTACCTTTTGTCGTTGTTGTTTGTATTCTCTGGTTAAAAACGATTTGAAAGTGTTCTAAAATATTCTTTATTTTCTCTGCTTTTTGGTGTTGTAATATGTGGTATTGGAGGCGGTATGTTAAATGATCCTTGATCAAAAATGAATTATCGCTGTATGAATAAACTAGGAGCATTGTACTACTTTTATGATTCTGTTATGCAATGTTGTCAAAAAGAATGAGTTATTAATTGGGTCTAATCGATATTTAAATAAACAAGAATATGGTGGTTTCAATTCTGTCCTAACTTGTTCTAAGAATAAATTTCTTTTTAAGTTCCCACAGTCTATGAATGTGGCACCTGAGTGAGCCACTTTCAGATAGAAAAAGGTATTCAGAATTGATATTCGTAGATAAAGGCTCGGCTTGTACTTTATGGTTTAAAACGAAGTCCAGCAGAGAAAATAAATCTTAAAATTGATTGACTGTTTTCGGAATGTGTTGTTGAAGAATGCTTGATGTAAAAATCGAGATAAGCGAAAAGGGAAAAGTAAAAATGTCAAAAAGAAAAAGAGCAAAAATCCTGCTTATTATTTTATAGCATACATTTTAGTTTGACTTTCGTTTACACATAGAACAAAAAGATATCATGTTGAAATGAAAAGATGCATTTAAGATAGTGTTTTTTCGTTTATCTTTTGCTTCAATTAACGACAAACCTTCTAAATACGCTTGTATATTTAAACTATCGTTATGATAAGATCAGCAAGCGTTTCAAGACGATGTTGTATTAAATCTTCGACATTTTAACTTTCGATATTCTGTTTTTCTACTTTGTTCAATATATTCGTTGTTGATTGTCAAAGTTTGGATAAAATTTCACGGTGGCGGATGTTTTTGATACTTTCTGAAATTCATTGGAAAGAGATTGCTGGTAGCTGCCGACAACTTTCTGAATTATAAACGTTAGTTTTTCGACAGAACAAGCAAGCTAGGTGTTCGATAATTATTCTCTTTGAAAGAATTAATTTTGCCTTAACTTTTATGATTTGTTCTAATCAAAAGAGTTTTTTTTTTCTAGATGTTTTTAAACGTAATGTCGTAGTCTGTTAATCATTTTTGGAAAAGTTTAATTCAAACTGAGTAAAATCGCATTTCTCTAGCTAATTATTAGAAATTGTTGCTAAATGTTACAAAAAGCTTTACCGATCAAGGGCAAATTTCTTTATAGCTCAAAATTATACATAATGAATGCTAACTCGCTGGAAGGAACGATGACAAATATTTTACGCGAATGGGATTATATATTTGAACTCGCATTCTATGCTGTATCTACACGATTTGAGAAGAGAATGTAGTCAAATAATGTAAAGATTGAAAGAATGAAGATGATTATTTAACTCCTAATACACAAAACGGAATACATAATTTAACCTGCTGGTAGTAGAGCTTCAAAACTACATTTTGCTGAAGTCTCTTACATAGCAAGGCTCTGGAAACATTTTCTGTCTAAATTTTTCTGCTAGATAAAATGTGCTAGTAGTTTAATATTATTCAAAAATACACCTCATAAATGAAATTGATGAATCAATAAAATCTTGCCTACTCGGGCATAATACTAAATGATATCATCTTTTCGAATAAAGGAATATGTCCAAATTCAGCATTTATTTATTATTCATCAGTCGTATGTCTAGGTTAGTTCGGCGAAAGATATTCGCTCGCTGAGAAGATATAATTTCTTGATCAAGAGTATTTCTTGAACTGGAACGTTACATGGGACTGTATGTAAAAAAAATGAATATCATTTGGTTTATGTGTCCGTACGATTAGTTTTTTTTTTCATTGGTCTTTCTTTTTTCTCCTCTCCAAGTAAAAACGACAACAACAACAACAACAACAGTTTCCGAACTAAATGGTGTCATTTATTTTCTATTTAACGCCTTAAATAAATAGCATTTACAATTTCATTCATAACTTCCATTGGTGGTTTGGCTGGTTTTCGTTTCATATATCTATTTCTTGTTAGTGCTCGTTTTGGTAAATAATGGTCGTCTTGAAGCTGTTTTGCCAACATGAACCATTTCGGTGTATCATAATTTAAAAATTGTGTAGCATGTGTTTTTGATTGTGACCATGGTACTGGTTGTTTTGAGGATGGTTTTTCAATCAAATGATTACTTTCATCATCATCAAACATCAGATTGTCTAAATTTTTATGGACTTGTGATTGTGTTGATGAGGATGCATGAGACATTCCATTGTGATGTTCTTTTTGTTGTTGGTGATATGTTGAACTGTATGCAAAACCGATAATAAGAGAAAGAAATAGGGCAATAAGGACTTTCGGTGACATCATTGTTTAATGCAAATATTGAAATTAATTTTCTTTTTATATATATACAAAATAGAAAACAAATATCACATAAGGATAAATAAGTAATCTAAAATTTGAAACGATACAGAAAAGATAAAAACCGCGAGAAGAGAGTATAGAAAAAAAAAATCAATAACAAAAAAAAACAACAAAAATAACACACTTATATGGATAGGTGAGCGCGTAATGCTCGTTTGAAAGCAGTACCGGTTTGACAAGATACAACAGTATTTGGCAGGGAATTTCAGTCAACAGCGGTACGCTAGAAAAAAGAAGAAGCAACATGTTCTTTCGATACTGTCGGTGTCTCAACCAGCATACCATTCTGACGGTTACTATTCAAATGGTCTGATCTTTTGGCTGCTGATGGTTTTATAAAAGGAGGATCGAAAATGGAGAGAGATGAGAAAGAACACTATCATAGGCTTGCCTGACATTGTAAGAAATTAACGCTTTTTAAAAGTGCTTTTAAATTTAATTATAGTTTAAAAACTTATAGTTTAAAAACTTATAGTTTTTATGTGCAATAAAATAAAATAAAATAAAACGTTTCATTATTGTATAACTTTTACACATCCTTATTTTTCAAATAAAAAGAGTTCACTTGGTGAAATACTGCCCTGTCTGCCTAGTTTGGCTAAAAACGTGATTCCGTCACGTTTTTCTATTTGAAAGAAATTTAGAAGCTCTTCAAAGCTGGATTAAAGTAAATTTTTGAAAAGCTTCCTCTCGAATACAGTTTCCGAGAAAGCGAAACACACATTTTCTCATTGTTCTTTCAACGCATTCTTATTACTCGTTAAAGAGTTAAAATAAAAATATTTTCTGCACAGTTGGAATCAGTGCCGGTTAACACGACCCGATCCACAAGAATATTTTTGGGTAGTTCAAGGTACTTTTATGATAAATTCCTTTTTTTTTTTGTGAGACGTGTGAAAAAACTCTTTTTCTATGAAATAAAAATGGTATTCGCGAAAAACGCAATTGAATTTATCTTTAAACTTCAAAAAAAGTATTCTTTTTCTTTTCTCTTCAACTGTCTTTGTTATTTTTTCTAGTGGCTTTGACCGATAACAAAAGATAAGTTAACGAGACTAGCCGGTCAAGCAACGGAAAAAATCTAGTCGGATCGAATGATATATTCCTAATTGGTTTTATCGGATTTCACTAGTGAATTCTCTTTATTTGAAAAATAAGGATGGCTAAAAGCTGAAAGGGTTATAATGAAACGTTTTATTTTATTTAATTGCACATAAAATGAGATTCACCTAGAAAACTGTTAACTTTTTCTACCATATTCGACTGTGAGCGTATGTCGATGCAATCCGAGTAGAATTCTAGGCGATCATATAAAAAATCAGACAATTTATTTACGCAGGATTCTACATAATATTCTGAAATGTTCTACCATAAGACTCACACATCGTTTTTGCCTATCCGATTGTCCACCACTACCTTTAATGATCTTATATCAGATAGGGTATTGTGTAAGATAAAACAAAATATAGAGGTTTATATATTTTCTCTCTCATTCATGTAGTGATAGTACCGTTCTGACACAAAGAAGAAATGTAAATAAACTACACAATCCAAAAACTGTCAATTGAGCTAAAACGATAGACAGAAAAATGAGAACAAGAGTGTTTCGCATATAATAAAAAAAACATTATCCTGTCATTGTGTAGCCATTATCTATTGTAAAAAGAAAATTAAAATTGAATAAAACAAGTTAATCATTTCAAATAATATAGTGGTACTAAAAACGCGGCAACATAAATCTTAAAATTCTCATTTTTACTAATAACGATATGTCTGCTAGAATTTAAAAAAGTCGAGTTTTCTCTTTTTTTCTCGAGTACTTGAATAGAAAGAAAAACACTGGTAAACAGGAAATAATTATATCAAACGTCATGCCTGTTAGTGATAGGTACTACTGATAGACATTAGAAAAAAATGGTAAGTCAGCATTACATATAAAAAATATAGAGGTCCAGACCTGTGAGAGGAAGAGATATTATAAGTTTTCAATAAATATTTATAATCTTTTGTGCAGTACGAAAGGATAAACTGCTATGTATCAAAAATCTAGTTATAAAACCTTTAAAACAAACCAATTTTCATGTACAGTTCAAGAATAGTAGTACCTTATTTTAAACTCTTTTCTCGTTTAGAAAACGAACATTTCTTTTTTCCTCTAAAGCCCACACATTAATTAGTATTCTATGTAAATCGGAACAAGGTGTAAATTTAGGATAAAAAGTATAAAATAAAGTATATAAAGTATGTAATGGAAAGGCCATGATCCGATAAGATAGATCATCGGACAAACAAATTTCAAAAACATACTTGCATTATGGTTCGCATTGACTCTGAGTGTGATATGTCGAGCTGAAATCGGGTTTTTCTAAGAAGTCATTTAGTTGACGCTAAGGAAATATTAAATTTTTTGTTTCAAACTCTTAGTGTACGCATGAAATCACCCAGTTTCGGCGAATGCCATCACTATCCGATCTACCTTATCACAGAGCACATTATTTATCATGCAGGCAAACAGTAAGTTTTTTGTCATCGAAAAATGATTGCTTTTGACTTAGAATGACTCTCTATATCTGAAAATAGTATTCTTGCAAGAAAAAATGTTAGTCTGAAAACTCTTAGTTTTTAATCAAAAAGGAACCTCCGGTGAAATTTTGTGACTAGAAAAAGATGTCTCAGAAAATATTTGAGAACTACATTATTCGCTGTAGTTTTTAGCGCTGATTCAAAATATAATGGTTGTTTTGGTTTAAAAGACATTTAGAAACTCATTATACCAAAGACATCACAGAAACATTGTTAGCACAGAAAACAGATTTTTTACTATTACATTCGAATCAAAGCCAATTCCTTTTTGTTAGAAACGTAGCAAAACCATTAGGTTCTAACCCTCAAATCATTTTTAATCTTAGACTTGATTTAAATATGAAAGAAACTTAATTTTTATCGTTCATAGCGGTATTTGGTCTTCTTTTCCTGACCTCAGTTTCTCGATCGTTCAAATTTAAATAAAATACATTTTTCGAAGGGGAAGTCAGCCACCAATTTGCACTTTACTGTCGAATAGAAAAAGCACTTTCATTTTTTCATGCGGACATTGAGTTCGCATAAATGCTCACTATGCCCATGGGGAAATTTTAGTAGATAATACAGTGTGTACCCGCCAATATTGTTAAACAAAATATGACCACACGTGAATATCATACGATGATATATGAACATACACGTATCCGTGCGTCAAGAAAAGTTTTTCTCCTGTGATCATCTACGAAATGCTTACAAAAAATTTTCCTTGGCAGTTTTCTCGGATGACCACAAGTGAAAGTTATGAACTGAGTAGCGAAACGCGTGAGAATTTTATAAACCCAAATGTCCCGAAATATTTCTACGAGTGATTGCTAGTGAAATTATACTATAGAAAGTTTGCGAGCGGTCACCTGTTTAACATGCAGTTGCGCGATTCTAACGTTGTGAAACTTTGATAAAATTTCTTTATGGGACGGATACGGTGCCACGATCAGAATTAGATCCTGAACACTTTTATTTTTGAAAATTAATTTTAAGTTCTTTTAGTTAACACTTCATTCTATTACGAATTTCTAAGTCTTTTAGTAGTATTCGATTGAAAACACATGTATTTAACTATTATTAGTGCTACCTTTTCAAAGCACATCACCGGAAAAAAAAAATGTTGGTTTTGAGTTGCTGAAAAGTGCTTTTACATATTCAGTACATTCGATAACCCCAAAGATTTTCTATTTTTGACGAAGATCCTTCCAAAAGTTTAGGAAAAATTTCGAAACAAAATGGCGGAAAAAAGTTTTCATAGGAAAATAATATTACTTTAAAAGTGTTTCCTAAACTTTTGGAAAGACCCTCGCCAAAAATAGAAAATCTTTGGGCTTATCGAGTGTACTGATTACGATAAAGCACTTTTCCTAACTCAAAACCAACGTTATTATTTTTATTCCGATAATATGCAGAAATAGTTCATCTCAAAACACATTTTCAGATCAACAGGACATATATGTGTCAACAACATATTACACTCAGAATCGACGAAAACCATGGTGTCAACATTTTTTTGAAAGTTTTTTCTCCATTGTCTTATCGAATTTCAAGTCTAACATTTTCACGTTGTTAGATGATAGTCTAGGAAAGTTCCAGTTATCCGTTAGTCACGAACTTTGATCACTACAACACTTACTTTGCGTTACATCACACACTTGGACAAATACACGTAAAAAAGTTCACTTTAGCTCTTAGAAATTCTGCACTGAAAATAAAAGCAACTTATTCTGTGTGTCTTCATCGCGAAACGTCGTAAGTGTCTTTTTTTCATAAAAAACATCCTATTTTAAACCATAGTTTGTTTATGAAGATATTTCTAAGGCGTTTTACAAGTCTTTCTTTAAATGCTGATCTTTTAAAAGAAGTTTATTCTAGCAGAAAATACTCACATGTTTAAAAAAACGTATACTTGCTAATAATTAACTGAGTTGTAATACCCCATTTTCCGTAACATTTGTTTTTTCTTATTAGCATGAACAATTGAGACTGTTCTCACACGTAAAAAAGTGAAATGAGCCGTTAGTCTTTTGAAAATATGTGACTTTATTTGAGCTCATCGTATATTTCAGATTGAGATGATCTTATATAAGCCAAATCGTCCGGCAAAAAAAGTGGATAAATAAGACATTCGAAAAGTGTCTTAAAGTAAGTAAAATATTACAGTGCCTTTTTTCTCGCTGACTTCAACGTCTTGAAATAAGTCGCTTTTTTGTATAATGTAGTGAACGTTATATAAATCGCATTAGATGGTTACGGTTTACATCCAAGCTGAAATCGAGATGTAACGAAACATGAAATTTGATTCAAACGCTCTAGACAACAGACAATCTATAATAAACTGCACGAAGATATATCATTTAAGAAAAAAAATTTTA